CTTCACCTCTGTGAACCTCAGTTACATTCTCTGTAAAACTGATATCAGCTGAGAGGGTGGCTAGACCATCTTAGACCTGAAGGTTAGGTAATCTTTTTTAGTGGGTTATTTTATTTTATTTATTTAATTTTTTTTCTGGTCCTGGGGCTTGGACTCAGGACTTGGGCTATCCCTCATTCAAGGCGAGGGATCTACTTGAGCCACAGCACCACTTCCAGTTTTCTGGTGGTTAATTGGAGATAAGAGTCTCATACACTTTTCTGCCCAGGCTGGCCATGAACCTTGATCCTCAGATTTCAACTTGAGTAGCTGGAATTACAGGCATGAGCTACCAGTGCTTGGCTTTGTGTCATCTTTCAACATGTGTGCGTGTTTTAACCTTTCAACATGAGGCTCAACATGCATGCTTTCCCCCAAGTACCTGGGCCTCCCCTCTTCTCCAAAGGATGGGCTATACACAGGATGCTGAAACTTTCTTCTTTTTCATTGTAGAAAGTCTCTTCAAAGAGGATGGGCACCGGGAGGAGACAAGAAAACCCAGCTCCTAGTTTAATCCTGTTTCCTTGTATAAAGACATCCTGGAATAGAGACAGTGATTAAAATTTAAAACAAAATAAACACAGGGGGGAAAAAAGTTAGCCGGGTGCCAGTGGCTCACGCCTGTCATCCTAGCTACTCAGGAGGCTGAGACCTGAGGATCGCGGCTCAAAGCCAGCCCAGGCAGGAAAGTCCATGAGACTCTTATCTCCAATTAATCACCAGAAAACTGTAAGTGGTGCTGTAGCTCAGATGGTAGAGCACTGGCCTTGAGCTGAAGAGCTGAGGGACAGCGCCCAGGCCCAGAGTTCAAGCCCCATGACCAAAAAAAAAAAAAAAAAAGAGTTAATAGTTGGCTAATCTGGGAAAGAGTTCAAGAGCCTTTCAGTGTTCTTTGAACTTTACTCAGCTTTCTGTGGTGGGGGAATGAAATTAATTCAAAATGTGTGCGTGCACACACATGCCTATGTATGCTATTTAAGGGTGGGGTTTATTTTGTGGAGACAGGGTTTCACTATGTAGCTCAAGCTGGATTAGAACTTTTGATCCATATGCTTCAGCTTCCTGAATGCTGGAATTATAGGTGTGCACTGCCATGCCCAGCCAGAAGATGTGTTTTTGTTTTGAACAAGACAAAATATCCAAGAAACTGCCTCAGCATCTCAGCCTGACAGGGACCTCACTAAAGAGGATGACCATGACTCCACAACCCTCAGGAAAGGGCCCACCTCAATTGAGGGAGAGGCACCCCCTCCCAGCCTCCAAGACTCACTGGTACCACAGCCTTCATTCCTCTAAGGCTCCATTACATGGGCGGTGTCTCCCCGGACCCGAGTCCACCCCCACTGGTGCTGTGTGCCTGTCACAGCTGGCATTTAAACACAACGTCTGTGGAAGGGTTGGAAAACAAGATTCTCAGCCCCTCCAAATACTGACGGAGGCACCCAAGAAACAAATACCTTTCCATCGAAGGTCTGAAAATGTCCTTCCGCTGGTATCAAAAGGTAGGACTCGAACTGATACGTGGGCTGAAGGTTGCTAGACAGGCTCCCTTTGCAGGGCACTAAGACCTTGAGAGGGTAAGAAAGAGAGCATGAGAGCGCTGGAGAGGAGGGTCCTGGGCAGTTGGGACAGCACAAGAGAGGCTCCAAAGATGGCTGAGTCACTCTTGGCTGAAAGCTGCTGGCCCAGATGCAGCTGGCAGGTCTCCAGGAGGCCACACTGGCTGCCCACGGGGTATATCTGTCATGGAGGTGACATGACAGAAGCAGGCAGACCAAGGATGAAGGTCCTCGTTCATCCTGACTTGGAGGCTGGTGGGCCCAGCAGCTATTTGCTCAGTGTGCCCTACCGCTGGCTCTAAGCACCACCCACCCCGAGATCTGAGTGGCTCTGGAGGCACTGCAGGGACAATAATGGGGGACACAGAAGGGGAAAAGTCACATGGGGCTAAACACCAGTGGCACACGCCTATAATCCCAGCTATCCAAGAGGCTGAGATCTGAGGATCACAGTTCAAAGCCAGTCTGGACCGGAAAATCCATGAGACTCTGATTCTGCAATAAACTACCAAAAAGCCAGAAGTGGAGCTATGACTCAAGTGGTAGAGCCTCAGCCTTGAGAGTGCAAGGCCCTGAGTTCTAGCCCAAGAGTCTGTACATGCACATGCACACACACACACACACACACACACACACACACACACACACACACACACACGGAACTGGGAAAAATTAGCTCCTGGCTACAATCTCAGGAGGCTTCTTGGAGGAAGCAGCTCCAGGCTGCCCCGGGCTGCTGGTCTACCATGATCTGGACATCATCTGGACCTGGAAGATAGTCCTGAGCATCAGTGCACATACCACACCGTGGAGCTGCGCCACCCTGCTGCACAAGTCTGGCCGTGCCTTCTGAAGAGCCACATAAAAAGGATTTTTCAGGATGTCTTCATCATACAGAGCCATATGGACTTCCCAGGGGTCAGAGAGTCTCCTGGGACAAAGGACAAGAAAGCAGTGAATGACCACCTTCAGGTTTGGGTGGCTTTTTATGGGGGGGGGTGTTTTTGTCGGTCATGGGGCTTGAACTCTGGGCTTGGGCGCTATCCCTGTGCTCTTCAGCCCAAGGCGAGTGCTCTACCGCTTGAGCCACAGGATCACTTCTGGCCTCAGCTGGCTTTGAACCATGATCTTCAGATCTCAGCCTCCTGAGTAGCTAGGATTACAGGCATGAGCCACTGACACCCAGCTGTGGTTGTTTTTTTTAACTGCCAGCCAGTCCTATGGCTTGAACTCAGGATCTGGGTGCTGTGCTTGTGCTTTTGTGCTCAAGGCTAGCATTCCACTACTTGAGCCACAGCTCCACTTCCGGCATTTTTTGGTGGTTCATTGGAAATAAGAGTCTTTCCTGTCTGGGCTGGCTTTGAACCATGATCCTCAGATCTCAGACTTCTGAGTAATTAGGATGACAGGCGTGAGCCACTGGCGCTGTAACATTAGTTCTTAAAACCTCAGGCTGAAATTGGAGGATCATGGTTCAAAATCAGCTCAGGCAGAAAAGCCCATGAGACTTTTAGCTCCAATGAACTACCAAAAAAAAAAAAAAAAGGTGGAAGTAGAGTTATGGCTCAAGTGTAGAATGCTATCTTTGAGTAGAAAAGCTCAGGGATAGTGCCAAGGTACTGAGTTCAAGCCCTGAGACCACCACTACCACCACCACCCCAAAAAAAGAAAGTCTCTTGTAATGTCTTGTCCACATTGGCTTCAAAGCTAGCCCAGGGAAGATAAATCTGAGTTTTTTGTTGTTGGTGGTGGTTCTGGTGCTTGAACTCAGGGCCTGGGTACTGTCCCTGAGCTTTTATGCTCAAGGCTAGTGTTCTACCACTTGAGCCACAGATTCACTTCCAGCTTTTTTTTTTTTAATTTTTATTTTTTTATTGTGAAAATACTGTACAGAGGGGTTACAATTACATGGGCAAGATAGTGAGTATCACTTCCAGCTTTTTGTTGTTAACTGGAGATAAAGAGTCTCACAGAAGCCGGGCGCTGGTGGCTCACGCCTGTAATCCTAACTACTCAGGAGGCTGAGATCTGAGGATCGCGGTTCAAAGCCCGCCTGGGCAGGAGAGACTCTGAGACTCCTATCTCCAATAAACCACCAGAAAACCGGAAGTGGCGCTGTAGCTCAAGTGGTAGAGCGCTCGCCTTGAGCTGAAGAGCTGAGGGACAGCGCCCAGGCCCAGAGTTCAAGCCCCACGACCGACAAAAAAAAAAAAGTCTCACAGACTTGCCTTCCCAGGCTGGCTTTGAACTGCCCTCCTCAGACCTCAGCCTCCTGAGTAGATAGGGTTATAGGAGTGAGCTACCAATGCCCAGCTATTCATCTATTTTTAATACCAATAGAAGCAACTCAGTGATGTGATGTATTCTTTATAGTCACAGTGTCCTCTGGCCTGTAACATTTATAGATGTGGTCCATTTTTTTTTTCTTAAAGTTCCTCATTAAAATGCTCAGTCCTGCATCCAGCTACTATGAGCACTGTATGAACTGACCATTGGGGTAGTTAAGAGAGGAAGCCAGGGGGAGTTTATCCCTCTCATGGGGGTTCCCAGACCCTTGTTCATATCACAGTTGGTGAAGGGCTAGACCCAAGCAGTAGCCACTCGGGTACAAAAGCAAAAAGCCCCAAACAAACAATACACTCAGAGCTGCCCAACCACAGTGGAATTTTGAATGTGCAGAGTTCAGAGAGGGAAGAAAAGCCGGGAGCTCGTGGCTCATGCTTGTCATCCTAGCTACTCAGGAGGCTGAGATCTGAGGACTGCAGTTCAAAGCTAGCCTGGTCAGGAAAGTCTGTAAGACCCTTATCTCCATTAACTACCAGAAAACTGGAAGTGGAGCTGTGGCTCAAAATGTTAGAGTGCTAGCCTTGAGTGAAAAAGCTCAGGGACAGCACCCAGGCTCTGAGTTCAAGCCCCACAACTGACAAAAAAAAAAAAAAAGACAGGGAAGAAAAAGGTCCCCGGCCTGCAAGAACAGTAGAAGCAAGATACCTTCCCACTTGCAGCTGAACCCACTAGGCAACCATTTTTCTGCCAGGATCTTTAGCAGAAGTACAGGTGTTCCCAGGGCCATTTCTCAGCATCTTTCAGAAGTAGAATCAGACAGACACCATGGCTCACACCTGTAAGCTACTCAGGAGGCTGAGATCTGAGGATTGTGGGCCAGAAAGTCTATGAGACTCATTTCCAATGAACCACCAAAAAGTCACAAGTGGAGCTGAAGCACAAATGGTAGAATACCAGCCTTGAGTGAAAATTCCGAGGGGCAGCACACAGGCCCTGAGTTCAAGACCCCAGTCCTGCACACACGCACCAGAAACAGGAAGAGTACCTATTCCTCTAAATATATTTTTTGGGTCAGTCATGGGACTTGAACTTGGGGCCTGGGCACTATCCTTAAACTTTTTCACTAAAGCCTAGTGCTCTATCACTTTAAACTACAGCACCATTTCCGGTTTTCTGGTGGTCCACTGGTGATAAGAGTGAAATAGACTTTCTTGTCCCAACTTGTTTTGAACCACGATGCTCAGATCTCAGCCTCCTGAGTAGCTAGGGTACCAGGCATGGGCCACCAGTGTCCAGCTAGACTAAACTCTTTCTAGGTCTGGTCCTATGATCATGTGGTCACATTTCCCTAGAATGTCTCTAACAGGACAAAGTTATTGGACCCCAGCCTAATGCCAATGACTAATGAGTAGGAAGAGTCCCAACAAGAGAGATGCCAAAAACAAATACTCAACAGCATAAAACCACATCAATAAATAAAGACCAGGCAGTTTGCCTGTCCAAGAAGCCCATGGAAGTTCAAGGTACAGACAAAACTTTGACCTTAGCCAGGCGCTAGTGACCCTCATGCCTATAATCCTAGCTACTCAGGAGACTGAGATCTGAGGAGGGAGGCTTGAAGCCAGAAGTTCTTATTTCCAATACACTACTAAAAAAAGAAAAAAGAAAAGAAAGCCAGAGTTGAGCTGTAGCTCAAGTGATAAAGTGCTAGCCTAAAAAAAAAAAAAAAAAGCTCTCAGGTACAGTGCTCAGACCCAGAGTTCAAGCCTTAGGACAACACACACACACACAAACTATAATCGGCTAGTGCACTTAATTAAGGCTCAGTGTGAAGGGTTTGCTGTTTAGTCAAAATGGGGGCCTCACCATGATTAGCAAACCCCAGCTCCGGCGCATTCTCATAGTCCCTTCCATCTTGCCACTGTTCCCCCAATTCCTACATCCTCCCCTGCTCCACCACCACCTAGCAAGCATGAGTCTCTTGACCCCAGAGTGTCACAGCCTGGCTCCCATGCCAGCCGGGAGGTCTGTTTGCAAAGTATAAGCTGAATAGATGCAGAATCTGAACATCTGAGGGAAGCGGGACTGAAGTTTTCCAGAAGTGATCGTTACATAGAGGACCAGGGGACCCCTCCTTTCCCCCATCCCACAAAGGGCAGGCAGGCAGGCAGGCTGGCAGTGATCCCCCCCCCCCATCAACCCGCAGCCACACGGCCTGCCCCCACCCCACGGGCCACCAGGAAACCTTAGAGGCGACTTCCAGGCCCTGCCCACTGCCCCTAAGTGCAAACTATCTCCCCACCCACCCCCGACACACACAGCTGGACCTAGGTCCTGAAATCCGGAGGATCCGGAGTTCCCATTCTGGGAGCCACCTCCCTGTCCCTGTGGACACTACAGGCAGCGTGGAAAGAGTGCACCCCACTGTGGATCGGATGGGGTGGAAGGGGTAGGGGGGTCCAGGACCCCCTCCCCACACACACACTCCCAGCTCCCAGGGAGGAGCCCCTCCCCCCTCCGCTCCCAGGCCCCGCCCGGCCTCGGGCCGCCCCGAGGCTCTGCCGCCGTCCCGAGAGAAGGGGGGACCCGGGAGGACGCGGGGCGGGAAGACACTTACTCCCGAGGCTACATAGTTTTACTCCGGGTGGCCTCAGCACCTTCCGAGGGGGTGGGGTCTCGGCTGGGACCGCGGTGCCCACCACCCTGGCGCAGCGACTCTCAACACCACCCACCCCTTTTTACTCCGCCGTTGGGTGGAGCCGCGCCCGTAAAGCTTCCCAGATCGCCCAATGAGCAACCAGTCTCCTCCAGAGTGACGGGGGCGCGGAGCAATCCTCGCATCCGGCTCCCCGCAGGGGGCGGGGCTCAGCCGCCTCCCAGACGCTTCCTATTCAGGCTTAGCCCCGCCCACCCGCGCCGACTGCGCTTGCTCCGAGATGGGAAGGGGCGTGGCTTCGGCTGGGCTGACACTCCCTAGGGGTGGGGTCCAAACACCAACGCTCGGAGTTGGGAAAACTGGGCCAAGTTGGGAAGGAGAGACCCACCCCCTAGGGTACTGGCGGGTCCGGAGGGGGCACCCTTCAGTGCTCGTTTTGCAGGGACAAAGATGTCCAGTCTTACGAGCTGCACCACTTAGTGTGGCCGACAGTGAGTTGGAGTCAGGGTCCCTGGGTTCGAAACCGCCCCCCTCCTTATTTGCAAAGACTCCACGTGAGCTAAACTTATTTTTTTTAAACCGGATTATTCGTTTTCTTATTGGCAAAAATACGGAAAGGTTGTGTCTGCCGCCGACCTCTCGAGACTTGCCAGAATGTTATAACTGAGGGAGATTAGGGGAACCCACACGTGACTTCTCCATCTGCGCCCCCCCCCCGGTTACCCCGGGACTAGTGGGGGGGAAGCACTCAGGACGGATGAGAGTGGGCGGATCCTAGGTAACGACCCGACCGCCCTTGGCAGAGGCTAAGGCTCTGCGCTCGCTCCTCTGGAAGGCCTGCTCACCAACCCTCCCCGGGGCTGGGGCTGGGAGGAAAGATGGGTCCCGCACCCCCAGGCTTCTCTGGGAGACGCCGTGAAGGCTAGATGACTGGGTTCGTGTCTGGGGGAGGATGGATGAGCCGGTGAGAAGCAGCTAAGGGGACTCGGGGGAGAGTCCTCCTCCCCAATCTCTTCACGCCCCCCCTCCGGAGTTCCCGGGAAGGGGGGTGCCATCAAACATCGTGGATCTCACTAACTGCCTTTCCGTGGGACGGAGTCTGCAAACGCCCCCGAGCGAGTTGGACGGGCCATGAGGAAGCGATCGGATCGCCCAGCCTGAGGCTGGCATCGAACCTCCACCCCAGTCGTCGCGGGGTTTGCGCGCGGCGCGGAGCGCGCCGAGATGGCCAGGGAGGAGTGCAAGGCGCTCCTGGATGCGCTCAACAAGACCACCGCGTGTTACCATCATCTGGTGCTGACGGTGGGGGGTTCGGCGGATTCTCAGAACCTCCGGGAAGAGTTACAGAAGACGCGCCAGAAGGCCCGGGAATTGGCGGTGGCCACCGGAGCTCGACTGACGGTGGTCCTCCGTGATCGCAGCCTGGTCGCCGAGGAACGTGCCGAGTTCGAACGACTCTGGGTAGCCTTTTCCGGCTGTTTGGATCTGTTGGAAGCCGACATGCAGCGCGCCCTGGCACTGGGCGCCGCCTTCCCCTTGCACGCGCCCCGCCGGCCGCTGGTGCGCACCGGGGTGGCGGGCGGCTCGTCCGCGGTGGCCGCGCGCGCCCTGAGCGCACGCAGCCTGCGCCACGAGGCCGAGGGTGACTTCGATGTCGTAGACCTGCCCCAGTTGGAGCGAGAGATCCTACAGGTGGGCGAGATGATCGACGACATGGAAATGCGGGTCAACGTCCCCCGATGGACGGTGCAAGCTCGCCAAACGGCTGGCGCCGAACTCCTCTCCAGTGCCAGCGCGGGCGCTTCCTCGGCCGGGGCCATGTCTCTAGAAGAACGATCCGGATCGTGCGATCCCAGCAAAGCCCTGGCTGCCACCGTCTTCAGCGCCGTGGTGCTGGTGGCTGTGGCCCTGGCCTTGTGTGTGGCAAAGTTGAGCTGACCCCTGCCCGGTGGTTGCCAACCGCGCGTCTCCCCCTGCTTACTGGGGAGAGACAGGAGGGGGTCTGGCTTGTTCAGGGTGGAGGGCTGAACTTTGCAGGGTGTCGGGGGTGGGGAGGGGGGAATAAACCTGGGTGCATATGCATTTCAAGGCACATCTTCGACCTTGGCTAAATGAGGTTTTTTTTTTCCTCCTGCTGGGCTGCCCCCCCCCACCTCCAAAGAGTTAATTTTCGGGCGTCAGGGCATTATGGCTAAGATCTACCGGAGCTTTGTCTCCTATTAATAGAAAATGGTCCCCGGTGACCCTCCCAGCTCCCTCTGAGTTAGGAAATTAACATGTGTGCTCCTGGGGCATCTTTATAGGATGGAGTCTAAGCGTGGTAACCCCCTCCCCTCCCACCCCTGCTAGCGTCTCCCGCTCTCTGCATTTGAGAGGGAGGGGGAAGTGGAAGGGGGTTCAGAGAAGGACAGATAATGTTGCTCTTTGTGGGTGATTGGTTTGGTTTGCTGGGGACTGGAAACCAATTGCTATCGGATATAAGCACCTGTTATTACCTTAATCCTTCGGGGGGCCTCAATTTAGGCGAGTGTGCAGTTAAGAGGTTTCCACCCAGTCTTTTTGTCAAAAGGTGAAAATGATTATTTCCACTTCTGGGCACAGTTAGTCATTGAAAGCAGTTCTGAGAGGTTTAGGATTGTGACCCTAATTGGGAAAGGCTTGGCTTGCCTCCCATCCAGAGCTGGGATGGGAAGGAGGTAAAGAGGCTTACAGAAGGGCCAACCACTATGTAAACAAACAAGGTACTTTCTTCCTTTCTGGGGGCTTTATTTTTGTTCCCTTAAGAGACCAGAGTGTTTGATCCTCCTTTGAGGGAGGGCTGGGGAATCCTCTTTGGAGCACTTAATCCGGTCTATCCCCTGGAATTTGCTGGCTGACCAATAGGCTGGAAGCTGTCTGACCCCCACACAGTCAGAAAGGGCATTGTGGCTTTATTGGCCCAACTGAAGCTGTGAGGCCATCAGTTGTGAAACTGGGTTAAAATGTAACTGCTTTAATGGGGCACCGGTGGCTCAGCCTGTAATCCTAGCTACTTAGGAGGCTGAGATCTGAGGTTGAAGGTGTAAAGTCGACCCCAGCAGAAAAGCCCCTGTGAGACTCTGACCCGTCCATCAACTACTCAAAAACCGGAAGTGAAGCCGTGACTCAAAGTGGTAGAGCACTAGCCTGAAGCAAAAAAAGAGCTCAGGAACAGCATTCAGGCTCTAGTTTAAGCCCTACCACCCACCAAAATAACACACACACACACACAGAGTTCAATTTGGAAATAAAATCATCGTCTGAAAGGATATCATATCATGAACTATTCAAAGCTATTAAAAAAAGAAGCAAAGGATATTGGGTCACATTTATATGTGCCAATGAGCCAAATAAAAGTCTGGCATTAGGTGACTCATCTGTGATCCTAGCTTCTCAGGAAGCTGAGATCTGAGGATGAGGTTTGGAAACCAGTCCAGGGAAGGAAAGGGAAATCTGGGGCATTGTGTGATCCTGTGTTGGGAAATCTTCTTTAAAAATCCAATCCCTATTCTGCTGTTTCTAAAACTGAGATGATTTGTTCTTATCAAGGCTTTTTTTGGCCCAAAAAAGGAAAAAAAAAATTGCCCAGAAGAATCTATTAAAGGAACAACCCGCCTGTGCAGGAAAGTCCAGGAGACTTTTATCTAGATTTAACCAGCCAAAAGATGAAAGTGGAGTTATGACTCAAGTCATAGAGGGCCACACTTGAGCAGAAAAGCCAAGTGAGAGCATGAAGCCATGGGTTCAAGACCCAGACTGCCACACAAACAAATAAAAAGAGAACAACCCATTTCACTGTTGGGTAATCCATTGAGAGTAGAGAGTATTTAATTAATCTTCATAATCAGTTATGTGTATTTGATTCTGAGAGTCCTCCACTCACTGAAATTAGTGATGTTACAAAAGGGCCAGGTGCCAGTGGCTAGCACGGAGATCAAAGATCATGGTTCAAAGCCAGTTTGTGAAGGAAAGTTTGAGACTTTTATCTTCAATGAACCACCAAAAAGTTAGAAGTGAGGCTATGGCTCAAGTAGTAAAGTGCTAGCCTTGAGAAGAAAAAAAAAAGTGCTCAGAGACAACACACAGGTCCACAGTTCAAGATCCAGGATTGGCACATACATGCACACACATGTTACACAAGAGGAAATGCTGAACGAAACATATTTATTCTGTTGACTGTTAGCCTAAAAATGTTGTTTGAAATTTTTAAACATTAGAAATATTCATTGTAGTTATAACATTGTCTAATACAACTTCTGATACATAACACAAGCAAATTTACTTTCTGCCTGTGCTTTCTAACTAGTATCTTCGCTCTCCTTTTCTTAATATATAATTCAAAGACAGGTTTTCTGATAGTAGATGGATTCAATTTAGATGTTTTGCCATTGAAGTAATTATTTTTCATAAGCATTTGGTATGATCTTATACCATGATACATATATATATACATATATATATAATTAAAAAAAAAAACCTCAAGATGCATTAACTTGCCCAGTGAAGATGGCTCATGCCTTTAATCTTAGCTAATGTTAGCTGAGATTAGGGTTCAAAACTAGCATAAGGCTGGGACTGTGGCTTAGTGGTAGAGTGCTTGCCTAGCATGCATGAAGCCCTGAGCTTGATTCCTCAGAGAAAGCTGGGAGTGGTGCTGTGGCTCAAGGGTAGAGCGCTAGCCTTGAGCAAAAGAAGCTCAGAGACAGTGCCCAGGTTCTGAGTTCAAGCCCCAGGACTGGAAAAAAAAAAAGCCAGCATAGGCAGATAAATCCAAGAGATTCTTAACTCCAAATAGCCAGTAGAAAAGTTGGAAGTGGAGGTATAGGCTCAAGTGGTAGAGCACCAGCATTGAGCAAGAAAAGCCAAGCAAGAACCTGAGGCTCCAAGTGCACGAGCACAAAAATAAATAAAAAATTTAAAAAGTAACTTGGAATGTCAAGGTATCTATCTGCTTTGTTTGCTGATCTATTGCTATTAGAAAAGTAATAGTCATATTTGTAGCAGAAAAAATGTCTGGGAAATTCTTTGTATGTTCTGAAGAGTTATGTTTTTAAATTGC